CCCATTTCATTCTCAATTTGTAGCACCAGCCATACCAACAAAGTTGAAACCAGCAGGTTTTGGTTCTCCATCAGGTTCAATAAAACAACACAGGAGGTGTAAAATTCAGTACCAAGATAGAGAAATCAAGTAACTAAGACAATCTCATATATCCAAGCATGTAACTAGAGGACTTGGGCCTTAGGTGACATTCAGTCAAAGCAGTATTCCATGCCCACTGCCTTTTTTTTTTTTTTTTTTTAACAGGAGCTTTGTCTTTTTGCAGTCTAAAAATATTCTAGCTGCAGCAGTTCATGGATCACACAGTAACATACAGGTGCCTGGGAAAGCTGAGGTGAAGTTAATACTAAACTCTAGAGCCCCTCTAATGGGAGGCTGCAAACATACAAAAGACTTTCAGGGTAAAGCTGCAAGACTGACACAGATGTACAGACAGCCAGCCACAGTTACTGGGCATTATTTATTATAAACTTCAGTTTTTGAATTTTCATTTCTTTTTTCCCAAAATTTGAAACAGGTGCCAATCAGGTAACATTGCATGTGATGTGTCTTTCCCATTCCCTTTCTGTAAGGATTTGCACTGAGGTATCAATCCTGTGGTTTTCTTAGGAGAGGAATTGCTCTTGCCTCCCTTGGTGGCCCCATTTACGCTATAGGAGGTTTAGATGACAACACTTGCTTCAGTGATGTGGAAAGATACGATGTTGATTCTGATCAATGGAGTGCAGTCGCCCCAATGAACACTCCGAGGGGAGGAGTCGGCTCTGTAGCCCTTGTGGTAAGTGACTGTTTCCTCCCAAGTTGGGGCCAACTGAGGAACCCACCTGCTTTTCAAATCTGCTTTTATAAGGCAGAACACAAGATTTCAAACAAAATGCAGCTGGTGGGTCTGAGCACCTCCGGTCATCAAAATCCTATGGAGCTGTGCAAAAGGTGAGGATATTCAGGATAATACTCATATCAAATTGAACTGCGCTCCCAGTTTCAGCAGTATGTGAGGTACTGGGAGGAAGTACCAGGACCCTTCTAACAACATCAGGCTAATGCTTCATGTCTTATTCCAAAGACTCCGGTTTGTCATGGTTACTATGTTTAAAGGTACTGAATGCATCTGCACTGTAATCCCCTGTCGCCATGTATACTTTGCAAAATGTCTGCAACAGTACATAACTTTGACTTCTTTAACTGGCAAATAGTGTTTACAAGTTGTTAGATAATTAAGTCTGTTGTTGGAATTCTTAAATAAAAGTAAATAATTAGGACTGTATGGATATACCATGTTTTCCTATAATTTTAACATTGCTTATGAAAAACTGAGTAAATACATACAACATTACAAATAATCTTTCTCTATACAATTGTTTTCCAGAACCATGTTTACGCTGTGGGCGGCAATGACGGTGTAGCATCTCTTTCCAGTGTGGAGAAATACGATCCCCATTTGGATAAGTGGATAGAAGTGAAAGAGATGGGTCAGCGAAGAGCTGGCAATGGTGTCAGCGAGCTCCATGGCTGCTTGTATGTTGTCGGTGAGTAGGGATGTGGCATTTTGTAATGCTGTGTCGGCCAAGTACTGGCATTTGGAAGAAGCTGTTGTTGTTAGAGGAACGGGAACAGATAGACCTGAGCTGTACTTTGTGTTCTTGGGCAGGAGAAGAAAGCAAACAAAACCAGAGCATGCTTAAATGAAGGTATGTTAGCGAGGAAATAAAAAGCAGTTCCTAACCCACATTTCAGGAGGGTTATACTGTTCAGGACAGTATGTCTATACAAAAAATCCTCTTGAGACTCACTAATCTGTAATTTCCTTTTAGGAAAAATTATTCTTAAGTTCACACACTTTTAAAGCACTCTAGTTCTACTTTGAGTGTAGACAACAGTAGCTTTTTCACATGGCGATTACACTTATTCCACAGCCTGTTGCCCTAGGCCTGTCTTGTTCTGCTCCACCTTGCATTCACCTGCTTTCCTGAGGGAGGAAGATGCCAGGTAGGTATGCCGTAGTGATACCTGCAGAGCTCTGCCTTGTGGATTATCATAAGTGATTAAAAAAAGTTTTGAGTAAAATGCTCCTCTGACGGCTGCCCCAGCAGCAGTCTTACTTGAGGATTTTTTCTCCTACTCAAGTATTCGGCAATGCTGTAATTTGAAAACACCACAAGAGTGTGTTTTGCTTAAGCCAAAATAAGATCAGGACCATCCTTTTACTGATCTTAATTTTCTTCTATTCCAAATTAGAAGCTGTTTCATTATAATTACGTGTAAGATGAATTCAAGGAGAAAAAAATAATAGAAATACCTCTCCTTGCAACTTGAGTAGAAGAAAACTGTCACTCTTGGTGATGCTTGTACTGTGATAGGAGGGAGAACTGTTAGATTAATTTTTAGGAGCTTGTAAAATTCATGTACAGAAATAGAGCTGGATGCTAGCCCACTGAATGCTGAGAATGGCCTGATAATGCCAGTCCTGGATATCTCCAGCAGTAGAAGTGGCTAAAAACTGATAATGTGATGATTCTTTGCAGGTGGCTTTGATGACAACTCTCCACTGAGCTCGGTAGAGCGGTTTGACCCACGCAGTAACAAATGGGAATATGTAGCAGAGCTTACAACTCCGAGGGGTGGCGTTGGCATAGCGACACTGATGGGTAAAATTTTTGCAGTTGGAGGTCATAATGGCAATGCGTACCTGAATACAGTGGAAGCATTTGACCCCATAGGGAATAGGTAATTGAAAATTTTTTATTTGGCTTAACAGGACAATGAAATCTGCCTATATGAAAACACAACCTAATAGAAATAGTGTGCAGTAGGAGTCTATCTGTTGTTTCCTGGTAATAATTGAGTAATGTCCATGACTGGTGATGCAGAGGTGCTGCTTATGCCACTAGGTGGTTCTTGTAAATATTTAAGCACCTCCTCCTCCTCCTCTCCATCCCTTGTCCTCTTCCCTTCATTCAATAAGAATCTACATTCTTCTGGTTGTTTCAGTCTGATTTTGCACTAAATTTACCAGAGAAATAATAAGAATAAACTAGCAGGGTGTATTTTTGTGCAGAGTAAATAGCTAGGCTGTGTGATGGAATTTCAGACACAGAAAAGAAATACTTTCAAGTTGCTCAGAAAGGACAGGAACTTACTTTTTTTCCTCTGCCTTCTTCTTCAGGTGGGAACTGGTCGGCTCTGTGTCACACTGCAGGGCAGGGGCAGGCGTGGCTGTGTGCTCTTGTCTCAGCACCCAGATCCGGGACGTGGGCCAAGGATCCAGCAATGTCGTTGACTGCATGTGAGCTCTGCTGCCTCCTCCAGATTCCAGAGGAATGATAGTAGGGAGGCACTGCAGAGCTTTTAAACACTGTGTTTTGTGTGGTAGGTTAAGAATTAAAACCAACACATTTTCTTTGTGAAAATGTTACCTTCTGCAACTGTAAAGCTTTTGGTGGCTTTCTATCAATAGTGATACAGAAAAGCCTGTGAAAATATGGAATAAAAGTGTGACTCACGGGAGAAAACCTGCCAAGAGCTGCAATCATCCTGTTTTTGAGAAGTTGTAATTTCAGAATCATTTGAGGCAGCTGTTGCAGGGACTCATTATTGAACTGTGAACCAGGCATGGGGTGAGGGGAGAGAGCAGCAGCTAGTACTGCTGAGCTTTACTCGACAGCCCTGCTACATGTTTTCTGGAGGACTCGAGTGCCATTTAATATAACTTATTTTCAGGAATGTAGTCTTAAACATTTCCTAATTGTACAAGAGCTTTGTAACACAAAGTGTCTCAAGTTTTAGAAGGTAACGACATCCCTGTTGCACACTAAGGTAACTGGAGCAGAGAAGTTCACTGCCCACCTCCCAAGGGACTGCTGGCAGCAGCGGAAATTGCAGGTACTCAGTCTGAAACCTGTCTTGGGAAGTACTTTCTCAAGCTAATACATTTGTTAGAAAGCTGAAAAGATTCTTGACCTGAGTTTAGCCCCTGGAATACTGGAATTCTCAAGTCTTCAATAAAATTTCTAAGAACTACACCCCTGCAAAAGGCAAGTTTCTGTTGAGAGGTCATTCCTGAAGTAACCAGTGTAATTTGTCCTACTTTGAGATGATAGTGTGTGAAAATGTAGGCTTCAGTGATGTCTGAATCACCATTTTATACAAAATGGAAACACATAATAAAAGTTGCAATATTCTGTAAAGACCTTTAAATGCAACTCCAGGAGATGACATCTCCAATTTCAGTACTCCTTAGCAACCGTGTGGTAATTCTAGAGGTACTGGCTCTTTTAAGATAGTTAAGCCAGGAAGCTCTAGCCTCCAAACAGGTAGATGACTTAAAGCTTACATAAACCAAAGAGAATCAGCAATAAAAAGAATTGGAAATAAACCAGTACTTACATCAAAAATTGAAATAGGAACTTGACAGTGCTGTGTACAAAGGCATCTTGTTACGCAGTCAGAAACCTTGAATTCCAAGTAAAGTCCAGCTGGAAAGACTGCAGATTCCTGTTCTGCGTCACCTCGAACAGACCAACAACTGACAATCCTTTGTGACCAAAGTTGCACATTATCAGGTGGTTCCAGGTGACCAGGGAGAGCAGCAAACTTCTCTGCATTCAGAGCCGGGGAAGAGGCAGGACAGCACGAGCGTAAGGCACAGTCATGTTTTGCTGTCGAGTTACCATCATTTAGCCTTTCTCTTTCAAATGGCTTGCACTTCGGTAGCACCCAGGGACAAAGTGAGCGGTACTGTAAATAATGAAACATTGCAATAAAACATTTGTACTTCAAAGAACCTTGTCTGTAGTATGACTGGAGCATGCTATTGTGAGGAAACATTACAACATTGAGTATTTTTTTGTTTCTGTAGAGTGTAATTCTCAATAGGAAGCCTTTGTCAGCAAGGAAAATCCTGCATTACAGCCACAAGCCGTACGCCCCTGCTACCGCCCTTGCCCCCGTGCAAGGATGTGGTCACCCTTGTACTTCTGGCTCTTGATCTGGCTAGGAGGGGTGAAAAGAGGAGGTGCAGGTTGCCTCTCTGGAACCAAACAGGTTCTATGGATGTCCCGGCTAACAAGAAAACTTAAGAAAAAAAATGAAAGGCAAGTTTTCCACAAAGTAACACCGACTCTGAAACCAAGTAGCCTGGCAGTGCTGCTTGCCAGCTGATACATTTCTCCTCTTGGTGGTAAAGTGCTAGCACCCACGGGTGTGGCCTGCGAGTAACTCACACACATCCGGACCACGCTGACAGCCGTTGCCTTCCAGGCACCAGAGGGGGACGTGTGCGTTCAGAAGCAAACACACTGGGATTCCGTACGGTGTGGGAGGAGCTCTGCTGTTGACCTGTAGCTGGAAGTCAAACGGCACTAGGTCTGAACGCCTGAACAAGACTGTAAGACAGACGCTTCTGTTGTATTTCAGTTCTCGCACGCCCCCCCCAACAACATTTGCGCTCGGGCTTCTGGAGGCATATTGTTAAGGGCTGGCAGGAAAACAGCAAAAAAGGTTTACAAGGAACAACCCTGTTGTCAATAAAGTGGTGTCCACATCATTAATCTTAGATGGCACCAGAACTACAAATATGTTGTGCAGAACTGGTTTTAGAAACACTTGCTGGAAACGTGATAAAGACTTCAAAGTATCAAAAAAAAATTAGGATTACTGTGGCAACAAACTAATGACTTACCTGCATTTAAAGCTGATGTGATTTAACACCAGCAAACCCGTTTTTTCTTCTTCCAGTACTGGCAACAGGATAACGATGACAAAGAAGTAACTCCCCCCAGGCGGAGGGAAGGGAGCAGCTCGCTTGGTTCCCGGTGGCGAGGCAGCCCCCAGTGGCAGCAGGCCCTAACTCCCACCGTGTCTTCTAATTTCAGACTAAACCCGGGATTTGCCATAGCAAAGTCTTTTCAGGGTCATGAAATCATCTAAACATGATGCACGTCTGATCCCAAATGTGGAATTGTTACTGCTTCTGCTAATGTTGTTTTCTCTGCATCTAAAAAGCCTTGAGCTCACCCACAGAAATCATAAACCCAAAGATGTACATCCTTTAAACACAAAGGAAAAAAAAAAAAAATCATTTTGGAAGAATCAAATGTGGTCACAGTTACTTACACCAAAGTTTCCAGCCTGCTGATTTTAACCATGGGCTTCTGGGAGGCACAAGACCAGGCTCTGGACCGCTCTTGCCCAGCCCCCTTGCCTGTGCATCTCCGGTCGTGTGTACAGCCAGCGCTCAGGAGTCACCCGCTGCCCGTGCCCCCCGCTGCCCCCCCAGCTCTGGGACACGCTGCCTCCGCCTCGGCTCTCCGGCTGCCCCACAGCAGCCCCCATGCACGACGCTGCTCCTCACCTCAGGACTTGGGACTGTGGCTTCCCAATTCCTCCCAAACCATACCGCTGCCAAGGGCGGCGCATCATCTGCTGCGCCACCCACAGCACGTGTGTCTTCAGGAAATTTTAGTCTCATAAAAGTGCTGCTTTTATGTATGGAGGATCAATACAAAGACCAAGATTTCCCTTTAAGTCAGATTTCTGACTGCTACATTAAAATAGTAATTTCTGATTGTATTTTTCTCAGGATGTGCCATAACAGCATGATGATGCAAGGATCTTGCATGTGTTAGTGTTTATTTCAATTTTGTAAAGTACGTGCTTTCAAAATAATCTTGAATTCATACCTTATTTACATTCAAAGGGGATTGCGAGAATTTGGTTATACTTTCACAGCTGTGAATACTTTTTAATATTGCTCCCCCCCAAAGGCATCTCATTCCTAATAGAGCCACCGCCTGAGAGAGAATTATTTCACTGAAATGTCTGCCTGTAGAGGGGGATGCAGCCTTGCAAATAACCGAGCCTTCGCAGAGGGCTTTGGCACACCGTGTATTTATGCGAGAGGCAATCAACGAGGGCCTCGGGCTGCTGCACAGAAGCAGGCAGCAACAGTGATCCCAGCCAGGCGCTGGAGGGATCCCGTCTGTCTCCGGGATCTTCCAAGCACGGTGGGATTTGGGGCAGGTACGGCAGCGTCAGCGTTGTTAACCCTTGTAGCATGCATGCACATAGGGCAGACGGAACACGTCAGAAGCAAATCTGTTCATCAAAACCGAGGAACTTCTCTTGCCCGTGATCTGGTAACACGCTGCTTTTTTTAGAGCAGTGGGAAGGTAATTAAATAAAAGCACAATTGCTGCCAGCATGACTGGCAGCAGATTCCGAAACCAACACTGGGGCTGAACAGCCTCTTACTCTGTGCTTGATCCAACTGCGTTCACGTGCTAGCAACAGAGATGCAGACAGTCCAGCAGCAGTAAGGCTATCAAAGCCCCAGGAAATTTTATGAGATCGCTTTGCTGCTCTGAACTTTTGCGTGCACTTACCTAAAATCCAGCTGCCTTCCTGCATCCCGATCTCAGTTCTGTGTCTTACCTCCACTTGGCAGCAACATTTTGACTTCAGAGCGATTCCATCTCCTCTAGGAGTTGGAAATGAGCTGCATGAGAAACTTCACGTCAATAGGCAAAAGCATCTACAAATGCTGAGGAGTCAGGGACAAGCCTCACTGACTCTGGGAATTTCCTGACTAAATAAAGGTTTGTTAAAGATAAAACTGAGTGCTCGGAATGCAACACTGGTTGCGCAGCTTCCCAGCAACTCCAGCCCAGCGTAACTGCCCTGAACCACAATGAGAAACAGAAACGGTTGCGTTTGCCTCATTCGCTGCGTGCCCGCTGCGTCTGCTGGAGCAGCTGCAGGATGCTCAGCCTGATCTTGTGTGATGGGACCATGGCTCCGACACCAGGTGACACCCAGATTCATTTTACAAATAAGTTATCATCAGGCGATAAAAATTCAACCAATTAACCTGTTCACACTTAATTAGAACAAATGCCTGGAAAGTCTGTAACTCCAGATTACTCCCAGTTAAACGGGGCTTTCTATCTTCATTTAGGCTGAAACTGCTTTTAAAACTATTTTCAACATCGCTGCAGCGCAGTTTTGCAAACCCAAGTACTTTATTTCAGATGTTCCACTTAAATATTTTGCTGGCTGCTTTTACCACATCTGTATTTGTTTTCTAAACCTTTGCTTGTTCTCTCGACTGGAACTGGCAGTGAATAAAGCACTCCTAGCCAGGAGATGAAACTTATATTTGTAATTCTTTCCTGGCTCTGTCAGCAAGGTTGGTGTTGCTGCCACTTCACGGCATTTTAACGCAATTCCTTGGATTCCAGACAGTTTCATTTTAAAGCTGTTCCAGTACGCACAAAAAAAGGAGTTCAACAGG